TTCTAAGCTACCTCCAGCTCCCAAGTTCCCTTCTCTCATTTCTCTAGATCCTCCTCCATCTTCTCCAATCATTTCCGTACCATTCCATAGCCTCCAAAGCCCATATTAATGAAGAGAGAGAGAGAAAGAGAAAGTTTGGAGATAACTTTCAATTTAGCCAAAAGAACCTCTCAAAGTCCTAAACAAAGTTGAAGATGATCTCTCCAAAAGAAAAACGAGCCCAAAAACTTGCAAATCCGTCCATTAGTTTGCATGTTATGTGCATTTTAAGTTTTAAATTCATTTTTAAACGACTCTAAATCCTCAAAGATGGAGCCTTCAAACTTCATGCATTGAAGGGTTATCTTACCAAAAGCTTATGTTTCAAATTTCATCCAAATCGGCTGGTTGTATCAAAAGTTATGGTTATTTGAAGTTCTAGCTTATTTTTGAACTAGAGATTCTGGCGCGATCTTGACAGCCCGATCACACATTAATTGCAATTGGACAGTGTTGATTGCACCATATGATATGGCTCATCTGACCATATCCCACGCAAGATCTAGGATTGCTAATGTTGTGCAATCCTGGTCGTCCATTCGATTCGAATGAATTGAACCGGCGAGATCGTGTGTTGACGTGGTTTAGTTGAGTGAGATCGCACGCCACGTATTCCAAACGTGGCATGTCGCTATGTCGCCACATGTCCTGCCCCGCCGTCGAGTTGTTGAGTGTGTGCCAAGTGTCCTGCTGCATGCGTGCCACGTGTCCCACCACAGTTTTTTATAAAATGAGTTTTTAATTTAATTTTAAAATCCAAAAATTAAAAAATTTTCCAAAACTCAAAATTATCTCCGAATTGAAAGATCTTGGGCTCGTTTGAAAGGACTTGAAGCCTACCTTATCTTAAAATTCATTTTGATAAATTTTTTTATTGAATTTTGAGAAAATGGACCATAAATGAGATTAAAATTTCTCATTTTTCTCAAGATCATGTGGTCCAATTGAGCTCAAATTTTGAGAGTTAATTTTTAAGCAGTTTATATACACCCGGTATTTTTTATAAGTCATGTTATGCTCAGGATTGTTGTGAAATGAATTTTCAAGGTAATGGGTTCATTTCGGACCCATAATGTTGAAAATTCACAATTGTCCAAATAGCTAGGATTTTCCTGTGATTTTTCTGTGGTGTGTTTGCGTATGTGTGAGGTCTAGCTAGAAAAATTTTCAAAACCATTAGAACTCTAGTGATACCTAGCACCACTATGCTCCTAGAGAATATTAGATTCTCCCAAAATCTCACTAGCGGAAGATTTGGCTCCATGGTGGTGCCACCTAGTGCCATAGCGCACATTATTATTTCCTATTTTTTCATTTTCTTGAGAGTTTAATGCCATGGCTCTATCAATCCTAGCACCACGACGCTTAGAGAGCAATTTTTGCTTACTTGAAATTTCTCTTCTCCAACACTTCTTGACTTATTCAAGACTTCTTTAACAACTCTAAGATTTATAATTGTTAATCAAATTAAAAGAAATGATCATTAACGAAAATTACTTGAATTTTTTACCACAAGTATTAGAGGTAGTCGGTAGGACCATAGTTAATGGGTGATAGAGGTTGGAAGAACTATAGTCGGACAACAATAATTGGTGGATTATCGTCGGGCAACGGTGATTGGAGGACCTTAGCCGGGAGACAATGATCGAAGGAACATAGCCGATGGGTAATGAAATTCAAAAGGATCATAGTCAGGCAATGGAGGTTGGAGGGTTATAGTTATTGGCCGACGAAGGTCCAACAATGATGGTCGGGTGGTGGCAAGGTGGCGATGGTCGGATGGTGATGGCCAGACAGAAGTTTGGTGACCCCGGTGGCTAGGTGGAAAATTTTGGGTGGTGGTCGGCTAATGAGGGTTTGTTGGCATTGGTGCTTGGGTGAATTTCCGTGATTTTAAAGCCTAAAAGTTCTCTAGCCTAGGTTTTGGGACCCTCCCCCCTCAGCCTATTGAGAGTGGGGCCTATTTTTAAGATTTTTGGGAGTGACATGTCCCATAAATATAAATAAAATTTAGATCAAATCTGGAACACTCCATCAAACAATATATATTGATTCTTTCGATCATATATAACTTCTTCGGAATTTAAGTGTCTTAATGATGTCGGAATTAATCGATATTGGGTTCATTGGATTCGTCTCGTCGAGCCGTTCTATTTAATTATAAGTATGGCAAATTTGTAGATCATTTGGTCATCCAATTAGTGTTCTAAAGTTTCCAACTATGTTCAAGGCCCTTGGTTTGGGCTCATTCAGGCTCGGATTGGATCACTTTTAGTATCGTTGGGTTTGTCTTTTTGTATGTTCAATTCAACTATAAATTTGTTGAAATTGGAGTTTAGATGGTCTTAAATTCAATTTTGAAAGTTTTTAAATTCAATGTGTTTCAAGATTTGTGCCCGATCAAGCTAATTTTTTAGTGATGTGTCACTATTAGAATAAGGGGTTGAAGTACAATATTGATAAACTATAAAGAATTGAAATCTACTTTACCCAATTTTTTGTTTGCTTTCTTTCTTTATCTACATCAGTAAATTCATCTATCCATCATATAGATTTATTATTATTTAATCCTCAATTATGCATGCTCCAATCACTTAAATCTCTTTTAGACTATTGCAAATTCAAAAATGTCATCCACACCATCTCTTTATCACTTTTAACCTCCTTGACAACTTGTTAGCTATCATTTTGAGTTGGCTAAGCACACTCATAGAGCAAATATAACAACAAACAAAAATGACATTTAGGCTTCATTTGGGACAGCTTTAGACCACTACTTTTCTCTTGCTTTTAAGAAATTTTTGTACTATAAAGCAGCTTTTTAAAGCACCGAAAAAGCAATCCCAAGCAAAGCCTTTCTCTCATCAATTTGATCTCAAAACAAATAAATTTATCCCCTGCACTACTCCTTGAATTACAGATCAGCTTAATAAAGCCTTGACAAAAAGAAAGCTTAATCTAAAAGCAGAAGAAACTTAAAAAGCAAATGAAATTGTCAGCAAAGCAAGCCTTATCACATATTTTAACATCAAACCTTAGGAATAATGATTGTCATTCCAACTCACAAGTATCAGTGACTGATCAACCTCAGTTTTTAATTTTGCAGGTTGCTGCTTCACAATCAACAAAATGTCTCCTACTTTGATAAAATTATATAATAATTCATTGCTTTATCTAAAAGCATTTGACTACAGTTGGTTTTAGGTTTCTATAACATGGATGGAACTATGAACTATGATATAGCTCCACTAAGGGGAAACAAAAGCTTTTCAAATAATAATGGAAGTTTTAAAAATCAATGGTGAATTTAGCTTCTCTTCCTCTTATTCTTATTCCAACTTTTGGATCAATTTCATGTTTCTTCTTCTTTCATTCATCCATATGTTCACTAATATATGAGATGTTAATCTAATTTGTGTAAATCTTTTTCAAACAACTTTTAAGTTATCTTACTTAATTGTACTTATTTTTATTGAGCATTGGAAATTAATTTAGACTTCATTTAGGACGGATTTTTTATTGCGTCTTAAAGTAGCTTTTTAGTACAAAAAATTTAATTTTTTAACTAAAAAGCTATTTTATGAAGCATGAAAAAAGCTGCCCCAAACGAAGCCTTAATCTACCCTGCTTACTAGTGCACTTTTATTGATATACGCCCCCACGCTCTAAAAGTCCTCAATTTCATTTTTTATGCTCACAAAGTAAAAATATAACATAAGATCAAATGCTTATTTCTATGATGGGACAATAAAGATTTTCATACTTGCGAAAATATTACAATTTTGTGACCATCACTTTGATAATAATTTCGATCACAAATATTCGATTGTGACGAGGATTGCAACTTCAAAGATTGTTGTAAATAAGTCGCTTTGTAGCTCTGAATCCTTCATTACATAGTATTCTTGGAGGCACTTTATTATTTTACCATCAAACTTAGATTTCGTTTGAGACAGTTATCTTGTTGTTTTTTAAAGCAGTTTTTTAATACAAAATTTTCTTGAGTTAGAAAATTTTTACTATAAAGTTGCTTAAAAAAGCAGTAAGAAATCTGTCCCAAACAAAACCTTAAACACTAAAAATTATATTCTTATTATTTTATATAATATATAAATATATTTAAATCAATCACATCTCAATATTATTCTTACCTTTATCAATATTGATGGATATTAATAATATCAAATACCTTAAAATCTAGCACAAAAGAAAAAGAAAAGAAAAAAGAAAAAAGAGCTCTGTCTGCTTAGCATTTGCTTATGTGACTGTAAAATAAAAAAAATTTCTTAAGGGGGCAAATTTTCTATATTTATAGCAATCTAAAGTTTACTCTACCATTTAGTTCAAATACATGTTCTCCAAGTAATATAATTTGCTATTTTATTCATAATATAACCAATAATTGTTACATATCGTGCAAATGATCTGACTATAAACCCCCTCACACGTCAGTATAATTAAAAAAATATTATCAATGTAATAAATATCTCTTACATGCCTGCCAGTAAGGAATTCCAACAAAGTCAGTGCCCATTTTTTCAACACATCACATCAATGAGAATAGATTTATAAATGTTTAAAAAAGTCTTAAATAGGAGAAATTATTCTATGCGAAGTCCAAATACGTCCAGACTTCAATCAAAATTGGCCACATTGCTTGTAGACAGAATGTGTATTATACACACCGTGTGCATAAAATTGTACACAGGCTGTGTCCAGGCGACTTGGCCTATTTTGATTGGAGCCCGGAAGCAAGCTACATCCGAACCCCACACAGAATAATTTATCCAGAAATAGAATTGTGGAACCCATTTTCAGGTTTTACTTTAAATCAAAAATCAGAATTTTTCATGAAAAATTAGAGGATCCATTGATTTTATCTAAGTTCAAACTGTAAAAATGATGTTTGAATTTAATAAAAGTACATCACTGTCACTATATAAGTGATCAAACTGTTAGAATTGAAGCATAAATATTCTATCCTTATTCACATCAATTTTCATTCCTGAAATAAACCAGCAGTAAATGATACAGCCAAAAATTACAAAGATCTCCATAAAGCAAATCCTTTTTAGATCACCCAAATTTTCTCCAGAAGGAAAACAGGCAGGGATCCTTCAAAAGGACAAATATTCACAAAGAAAAAACTCACAAAATATGAAAAAGAAAAGAATGAAAAGAATTTACAGGTCAAGTAATAAAACTGTATAAGAAGATCAGATATCTCTCCTGCATAGAGGGCAAGAGCCATTCCTGACAAGCCAGCCATCAATGCAGCGCAAATGAAACATGTGTTGACAATATGGCAAACTCCTCACTGTTTCCCCAACTTGGATTTCCTGAAAATGATTCATCATCACAAAGTTTTAGCATCTCATAGAACAAAACCAAAATCAAAATCAAAATCAAAATCATTCAAGGTAAACAATTTCGTCAACCTGCAAACAAATAGAGCAGCTAATCCTATCTCCAGAGCAATCCAAGTTGTTTTCTGAAGTGATTTTAAGCATTGGCAACAGATCTACAGAATCTTTTGACATGCCGTGAGTGTCACCAATTTCAAAGATATCAAGGGCTTCAACATAAGGAAGTTCCAAAGCGCTCATCTGCAAATTATCAGTACTCAGGAAGGTTAAGGGACAGTTTGATTCAATCTCATATGAACAACAATCTTATCTATCAAATATGATGACTTTGGTTCATTACTCTCTTAGTTGAACAAATTTTATGACTTTTTAGCTTTCTGAAGCTTAGACATTGGCAGATTTAACTATCACCAAACCAAATAATTGAATCTACTAATCACATAAGATATTTTCTGAAAGAGATTTAGTTTAAGGCAGTGTTTTAACCTGGCTCTGCACTGCACTTTGAACTGCAGGACCAACTTTCTCACGGACAAGTCTTCCACTCAAAAGGCTGCATATGATGTCAACCTGTAAGAGAAGGAAAATCAAAGAAGGATTAATGATTAATTCATTTTGCCTAAGGAGTGTTTTTGGCAAAGGAAACAAGCAATTAGAAAGTACAGATTTCCAGAGATTATCTGATTAGAATGATTCTAACTTACCACATAGAGAATACTGCAAATTCCAGATTCATGAGAACGCCAGAGAGCAACAGAGGATTCAACAGCCTCAATGGAGAAAACAGCACCAGAAATGGCTCCAATTCCAGCTCCCCTAACAAACCCAGTCTCTGTTGCAAGGCCAATCAATGCTCCTGTAACAGCGCCAATTGGAGCACCAACTGCAGAAAAATTCAATTTTTTTTTTCAGCGCAATATGTTTTTGGGGAATTCTATCAAACAGTGATGGAGCAACATCGAGTTTCTATAGAAAAAGCCAGGCATGAATCACAGAAAACTTAAGCGAAGTAAACACAAAATTAGGAGAAAAATCGCTGCTTTGATCAAGCAAGACTCGAACCTAAAGCGAAAAAGCAAGTGATTACACCAACGATGACTCGTTCCACAATCTTCGAAGCTGTGGAGCTTTCATCATCACTTACTCCGGCGCCGACAAACACATCAACGGGCGGCGAAGAAAGAGGAGGCTGAGGAAGTGGAGACGAAATAAAGAAATCCATGTCCGCTTGCTGTGAAAAAGATAGATTTTTGAAATATTTATAAAGAGTTTAGTGAGACAGAGATAGAGAAAGCGAGTGAGACGGATGCTTCTGGGCTAAGTTAGCTGGGAGGAAGGGAAGGAGCGGGTAAATAAACCATACAGGAAGAAAAGCGCGACCTACTGCGTAATAAATGCAAACTTGCGCGTTCGAGGAAGGGATGAGCCAACCGTTGAGTCCGATGAATTCAGTTATAAATTTTTCTTCGAGAGACGGCTGAAACAACGGCCAATCTGAGACATTTTATTGAAAGTTGAAATTTTCTTCGAGAGTTTTGAATTGGACCAACACTTCTCGCGTGTAAATCCTGGAAATGAAAACGAGTCGACTGGTCAAGATGGGATTTTTCTTCTTAGATTTTTTAGTTGGCTTAAAGTTAGGAAGTTTCGATGGAGATGAGTAGGTCCATTATGACTGTCTCATCTATAAGATGGGATTTTTCTTCTCAGTGTTGGTCTTTTAAAAACTTCACTGAGCAATTTTATTCTCATTACACTAAAGTGGATTGGTATTCCTCGGTTTGGCATAAAAAATTTTCTTTGAAATACGCTTGCTTCACCTGGATGGCTGTTATTGGGAAGCTTAAAACGGCTGACAATTTGATTTCCAGGGGCATAGCTGTGCCTTCGATCTGTTCTCTCTGCCTTTCTTTTCCGGAAAACCACAGCCACCTGTTCTTTGACTGTGAGTTCTCCTTCACTATTCTGGCTAGGTTGTTGCCGGAGCTCAATTGCTTCTTACTGAGGCCCACTTTATTGCAAATTTTCGATTTCTTTGAACACTCGACAACTTACCACAGGCAGGAAATAGATTTTTGCTGTCTCATTGTCAGCTGCACCATTTACCACCTTTGGAGAGAACGTAACTCTAGACGGTTCTCTAATGAAAACATGAATTCTGTCAAAATCATCAACAATATATCGGCTGCTATAAGATTAAAGGTTTCAAAATGGAAAAACAAAGAGAAACTGCTGGGAAGATTTTTTGGTTTTTAAGCCTTGCAGCGTTGCTGTGTTTTTGGATTACTATGGGTATACTGTCATTAATGGGAGCATTCTTTTTGTCACTATATTGGTGTGGGATATTTGGGTATACAAAATTTCTTGGGGACACCCCAGTTTTGTTTAAATTTGGTATACTTACTTCTCTGGGCTATAATTTTTGGGGGTCGTGGCTGCCCCTCTTCTCTAGATCCTCCCAGGCGGTTTTTGCTTACACTCGGACTGACTTGCTAAAAAAAAAAAAAAACTTTTTTTCACACGCTAACAATTTAGTCCATAGCAAAGAAAGATTTTTATATGCTCACAGCTTATGTGAAGCATATGTGGCATCTTCTAGCTTCATTAAAAGTTCATGATGGGTGTTAACATACATGATGATTATTATGTGCTATAATATTCATGATGATAAATTTGATTTTAATATCATAGTATTGATGAATATTCTGTGCACATTTATATATTTAGAGCATAACCCCCAAATTAGATAGGGTATTTTTGTGTGAGAAATCTCAAAAGAAAATCACGAGATATAACCCAATTGAAATAGTTATATTACAATGAGTAAAAATGGAGAAGACAGCACCAGAAATGGCTCCATATTTTGATTTTTATTATTTAAGTTTTTCTAAAATGATTTTTATTGCATATTTTTTCGAATTTAGTGACTACCATCACATAACTTGTGGTATATTGTAGTAATAATTATTATGGTTGTTGTGACTATGATTTTGTATTTTCACCGATTAATGTTGTAGTTATTGCATTTTGTACTATGAGTAAAAATTATTGCATTTTATACTATGGGTATTTTTGTGTGAGAAATCTCAAAAGAAAATCACGAGATATAACCCAATTGAAGTAGTTATACTACAGTGAGTAAACATGGGGAAGACCACCAGAAATGGCTCCAGGTTTTGATTTTACTATTTAAGTTTTCCTAAAATAATTTTTATTGCATATTTCTTCGAATTTAGTGACTACCATCACATAACTTGTGGTATATTGTAGTACTAATTATTATGGTTGTTGTGACTATGATTTTGTATTTTCACCGATTAATGTTGTAGTTATTGCATTTTGTACTATGTGAAGGAATAATAGTTTTTGTTATTTTGTATAATTATACTGTTAATGCAAGCATTATGAATGAATATGAGCATGCGAATGAGTATTAACATGTGTTATTACTTTTATAGTTTTTGTTATTTTGTATTATTATACTGTTAATGCAAGCATTATGAATGAATATGAGCATGCGAATGAGTATTAACATGTGTTATTACTTTATAGTTGTGTGATACAATAAGGTGATAATATGTGTGAAAACAAGTAAAGGCTAATTATTATTGAAGTTGTTTGGAGATTGATTTATGCCTATACAGGAAGGTGGGCTAAAGGACTTTCATTTAAATGAAGTGGTTTGTAGTGTTATCCTCTAATGATTCACCTGATTTATTGATTGAGAGTTATAAATAGCTAGCTACTGTGCCGATAGACAAGAGTAGCAACTCCGTTTAATGAAAGTTAGCTATTACTGATTAATAATATTAAATGAATACCATGCAAGTCATAACTCCTTACTTGTTTAATATGACTGCTTGGACATGTATAGATTTACTGTTATTATTATTGCTACATATTTAACTGTTACATATATTCTTACTAATATGTTACTGATCTGCTATTACTATTATTGATTTACTACTACTGACCTACTATTGATTTATTATTATGAAGCACGTGATTACTACTATTAATGAGAATATGATTAATATATTGAATTGATACTTGATACGTCATCAAAAAATTATCTTGATCGGGCACGAATCTCGAGGCAAAATCAAGTTGGAAACTTCCAAAATTAAAATTGGGACCATCCAAACTCCGATTTCAGAAAACTTACAGTCAAACTGAACGTCTCGGAAATACGAACCCAACGACATCAAATTCGACTCAATCCGAGCCCAAATGAGTCCAAAACAAGGACCTGAAACACTGTTGGAAGGTTCAAACCATAATTTGGATTACCAAACGATTTCCAAACATAATGTTCTTATAGCCGAATCAAGCGGCCTAACGAGACGAATCCAATGAGCTTAAGATCGCTGAATTCCGACATCATTAAGATCTTCAAATGTCTGACAAACAGTCCACAATCAAGGGATTCAATATCGGTCGTCCATCCAACCACTCCTCATTTACCCTTTATCTCTCACCTATTTATGGGCCATGCCACTCCAGAAATCTATAAATAGACCCCTCATTTCTCTTCAAAGGCAAGCAAGAAGAGAAGGAAGAAGAGAAGGAAGAGAAAGAAAAAGCTACTCCTCGACCACCGCCTAACGTCGTTACTCTACCAGACCACCACTGGAGGTCCTCATCTTCGTCAGACCACCACTTGACATCGTTGCTCTGCCGGACCACCACTTGAGGCCCTCACCTCCTTCTAATCACTTCCTGATGTCGTTGCTCCGCCAGATCACCATTGGGCCCTCACCTCTGCCAGACCACCACTGGAGGCCCTCACCTCCGCCGAACCACCGCCTGACGTCGTTGCTCCGTCGGACCACCACTTGAGGCCCTCACCTCCGCCGAACCACCACTTGAGGTCCTCACCTCCGCCAAACCACCACCTGACATTATTGCTCCGCCAGAACACCACCTGAGGTACTAAGCTCCGCTGGATCACCAATTGAGGCCCTAGGTTCTACTGGACTAGCACTTGAGGCCCGGACTTCTCTCAGACCACCACGTGACGTCCGGACTTTTTCCAGGCCTAGACCTCTACCGGACCACCACCCAAGGCCCGAACTTCTGCCGGACTACTACCTGATGCCTGGAGTTCTATCAAAGTATCGCCCTACTATTATGGTCTTTCTGACTCCAGTCTCCTGCCAACTACACTCTTTCGAACCTCTGTCTCCTGCCGACTATGGTCCTTCCGACCTACACTAACAAACAACAGTCTTTTTGACCCCGGTCTCCTACCAACTACGGTCTTTCGAACCTTTGTCTCTTGCCGACTATGATCCTTTCGACCTCCAACACCAAACAACGATCTTTTCGACTTCTATCCAATCGACTATGGTCATGCCGACCAAACAAATATGTCTATATTGTAACTCCCACCATGTAATGTGTTCTATATAATGTATATTTGTACCATCAAGCCAAGGCCTTCTCCTCAGGAAGGGCCTCATTTGTAATCGACGGCAAATACTAGTGGATTCATTAAAATTGGGCCAGGCCTCGTGGTTTTCCCTCCTTTTTAGGGGTTTCCACGTAAAAACTTTGGTGTTTATTATGAACGCTACGCTCTCTCTCTTATCTGATTGTGTGTTGGATCTTCATACAACGTTAAACTATATATTTCTCTACCACCGTGAATACTCCAGGACGCAACAATACTAATATAAAATACTTGAATATCATATGTACATTCCTATACGATGGATTGATAACAGTATTTACAATTTTCTGATTTATGATAGATTTTATAGATACTCATGTTTTATAGAATTATGCCATGTTCCTACTTTTGGATAGCATTGCTACAACCTTGGGTTGAAAAGGATTGTTTATAGTATTGTACCACTTTCTAGATTTTATTATTTTATAGATTTTACTGCTTCACAAAAATGTTGACAATAAGTGATGATCTTGATATGGAATCATTTATCTCAATTAGAATGAAGTGATGTTCTTGATAATTTGTAAATTAGAGGCTTTTACGAGGTATAATAATTTATAAAAGCTCCCAACTCAAGTTTTTGGCTACCACAAAATGGAGACTAGACTCCAATTTTGAGGTTAAGTGTTCATGTTTTTTAGAGCAATCTAACGCCACAAAATACTCGAAAAAGTGTTTATGTTTAGAGCATGAACATAATTTCTTTGGATAAAAAATGATGGTTGTTTAGAAGCCATACACATAAAGTATTTAATACCCTTGACAAATTCATTTACTAATCATTTATGCATAAGTAAAAGTCTATCATGCATGTGAAAGTAACCTTTAAAAAAAAATTTAGAATTTTTTTGACCTAGAACAATCAATAATTATTTCAGGAGTTATTATAATTCTAAATCACGAACCGTCTTAATCAAAACAGTTATGGTGTAATGCTTTAATTACCCTATTTTTTCATAAATTTTAGGCAGTATTGAAATTTCTTATGAAATCTACCCTTATCAATAAAAGTGGGATTTTTGGGATAGTCATTTGTCCGTATTTTTTAAATTAAATGAACTACTTTTTGAATATTTTTTTTTTTTATAATTTTTGATATTTCTAAAAGAATTTCTATAAATTTTCTACTGAATTTTTTTTCAACAATATTATTATAAATTATTTAATAAAGATTAAAAAAAGAAAATATCTAAAGCCATTATGGCTTTAT